ACACGCTCAGGTATCCTTCACCTCCAATACTGTGCGCAGGCAGATGAAGAATGAAAGACCCCGAATCCAACAGGCCTGTACATTATATCTGGTTTGGGCTAACCCCATTCTACACAGGGACGTCAAACCGTGGCGTCACCTGATATGCCAGCTTTACAGCTGACCATAGCAGTAGTCAAAACGTGGAGAAAATCAATGTGTGTGAGTGTTGATTAAGTGGTGTGTATCTAAGAACATACAGGACATTCAGGGACAAGTCCGGACATTAAGCCTCAGAAGATATTATGATTAAGATTACGGCTAAACATATCATACAATAGCCACTTTCTATCTGGTTATCCTGGAACATAAACAACCTGGAGTAACTCCTGGAAATGAGTAAGCATTTAACAGCCTGAGCTAGACATCCTGTCTACACTAAAGACATTTCTAATACAACAAGTACCTAACCAATACCTATCTGACTAAAAAATACCTAACAACTGTTAAATGTTAGAATATCAAATATAATCAAAATACTGTTGTGTGGGGTGTATTTGCTACCTCTAGAGAGCTGCCAGAAAAAGATTTTGTGCTATGCATAATGACAATAAAGATTCTTGACTTGACTTTATGCCCGTTCCTCCTCCTTTATCCAGGCTTGGGAGTGGCAAAGTGACCCAAAAGAGACACTGGCAGTTACAATGAACAAAATTATAAACGCAACACTTTTGTGTTTGCCCCCATTTTTCATGAGCTGAACTCAAAGAGCTACGTCTTGTTCTATGTACACAAAAGGCCTATTTCTCTCAAATATTGTTAACAAATCTGTCTAAATCTGTGTTAGTGAGAACTTCTCCTGTGCCGAGACAATCCATCCACCTCACAGGTGTGGCATATCAAGATGCTGATTAGACAGCATGATTATTGCACAGGTGTGCCTTGGGCTGGCCACAATAAGAGGCCACTGTAAAATGTGCATTTTTATCACACAGCACAATGCCACAGATGTCGCAAGTTT